TCCGCCCAGGCCGGCGCCGTGGCTCGGGGGGAGGGACGCGGCGGCGCGGCCGGCTCCGCTTCTTTCTCCCCCTGCAAATATTTGCAGCCTTGCTGGAAATCCGACTATTTCGCGCGCGCTCCGCTAGCAAAGTCCTTAAGTAAACACGCTCAAATGACCGCCCCAGGCGGCCCGAGGCACGCTCACTCCCCCCGCTCGGGATTAGTAACTTTACGACTTCGACCCCGAGGCTTGGCTTTTCTGGTTACCCTCCGCCCGCAGCGCGCGGGCGCCGGGGTCCGCAGCTCCCCGGACCTCGGCCCCGCGGAGCTCGCCTGAAGCGCGGGTCCCTAGGCTCGGGTCGGTGACGCTGGCTGCGTGGATCTGCGATCCTGGAGTCCCGAGACCCCAGAGGTGAGCCTGGGGCGATACGCTCCTCCCCTCCGCGCCGTGGGCTTCGGTTCCTTTGCGAGACCGGGTTTCCCACTTCCATGCGGACAGAGTCTCTGCGCTCCAGGGAGGGCAGGTGGGTGGGACCGGTACGGGGGCAAGTGTTGTGGCGGGGGTGGGTGCCAGCTTGGCTGAACCAAGGAGAGAAAGTAAGGCTCCATTTCTTACCCTTTCCCCAAGAGGGCACACACACCTCGCTCAACTTGACGCCTAAAGCAGCCGCCTCGAGGCCTGGGGTTGCATATCGGCCAAACTGGCTCCTTCCGCCCCACGCACGAATTCGGCTCCAGGGGGTGGGGGTGGGGGTGGGGGTGGGGGTAGGTGGGCGGTGGCTGCGCTGTGGTCTGCTCGGCTCCGGGATGCTTGCCCCCAGGGTCCCAGGCTTCCAGGCCATTCCTCTGTCCCTTACCCTGGTAAGAGAGGCCTCTCGCCCTACAGGAGCCAGGGGCGACAGCATCCTCCTCATCGCTTTCTTCTCCTCCCCAGCCGTTCCGGGGAGGAGAGGGAGCTGGTAGGCCAGACCCCGGCCGGGGTGTCCCGGGAGGAGGCTGTCAGGTCTGCAGTAGAGCGCTGAGCGTCTCCGCAGGAGGCCTGGATCAGCTTTACGGGCTACAGCAGCGGGGGAATCTGGACCACCTTTCCCCTCTTCCCTTCCCCCGGCTTCGAGCCCCCTCCCCTCCCCTCTCCCGCCCTCTCCCGGAGGAGGAAGCCCGGCCAGCATTTGCCAGCGAGGCGGGTCAAGCCGGCGCCTGGCCTAGCCCAGACCCCCGCAGCCCGGCTCTCTGCCTCAGGCCACGCGCCGCAGCCTCTGTCCGGCCGCACTCCCTTCCCCCCTTCTTCCTCGTGGGTCCCGAGGCCGACCTCGGCCCTCCCTTCCCCGTACCCCTCCCCACTGCTTTTCCCTCCTCCCCTGCTCTGTGCTCCCGGCTCTGGGGCTGGCCCCGTGACGTCAAACACAGTGTGGCGTCGGCGAGACTGGCCGGCGCGGGCCATCAAAAGAGCAACGTCCTCTTTCCCAATTACCCACTGTCAGTCCGGGAACAGGGGCGGACCGGCTGGGAATTAAATGTTAAATACCCCCTACAGGCTGGCTCCATTACACCGGGCATCCCGCCGCAGCCCCCGCGCCTCTCTGCCAGGTCCACACCACCGGGAGGGGCCTTCGGGGTCTTTTATTATTTGTTTTTCAAGGTGGTCGGGGCTGAGGGGTCTCCATCCCAGCGCAGCTCGAGTTGGTGCTTGTGATTTACTTAAAACGAATAATCCTCCTCCCCCCAGTTTTGTAGGTTATCAGAGAGGCGCCGCTAAACCGGAAGGCCTCCTTACAAATCTTTTCTCTTTGTCTTTTAAAATCGTTCTCAGCCTTGGAAGTTGACATTTTCGAGTCCTGGCACCGGCAGCACTTCTTTTCGCAGACAGGCTCTCTTGATCTTCCCCCGGCTTCCAGGTCTGGGCTTGGAGGACCCCAGAGCCACGCTGGGGTTTTTCCGCGTGCCTTTGCACTGGGGGTCGGGGCGCATCTCCTCGTCCTGGACTGAGGCGCGAAGAAGCGCTTTTCATTTTTTCTCTCTGCTTCCATTCTTAATCTCGGGACTTTTTAGCAAAAGAGGGTGTGCGTTCGTCTGTACTCGTTTGTGGAGCGGTTTCCGGTGAATGCTAGAAACTAAATAATTAAAAGGTTTGGAGAGCGCCGTGAGCAGGAGGAGAGGATGGCAGCTTGACTGGCCCTAGAGAAAAGTGGTCAGAGAGAAAGGAAAATCGATGTTCCTTTCCTGGGCCGTCCTGATAACCCGAGACTTAAACGGGCTCAGGAGAAACACTGGGTGGTGGGACTGGTGGTAGTGCTTAATTTAGGAATTTTCTTCTTGTTTCGCATCTAGGAACTTAATTCTAATTTCTAACTACCATGAGTTTTAGGAAGGCAGAGACTCAAGAGAAGCTCCAAATACAAGACCGGGAGGAGCCACGTTTTCACTATCCGAAATAAACTTTACTATTCTTTCTACAAGAATTGTGCATTAAAACAAAATATTTCTTTCTCAACATTTTAAGGCTGAATATCGATGTTTTTCCTTAACCGTATAAAAGGAAGCTTCCAGAATCTCTTTTTAGGGGCGGTCTCTTCTAGCTCCAATTTTTGTATTTGTAGGGAATTTTATGGGGTAGAGGAGTGAAAAGGGAATACGGTCTTTAGTTCCAATAGAACCCACATCAAAATTAGTACCGTCCGTGGGAAAGCTTGCGGGGGAACCCTCACTCTCTCCTCGTACACACTGTGCTGAGTGAGCAGAGGGTGGAACCCGAGTCCTTTCCCGCCTGACCCCTGAGCGCCCCGGCCTCGTTTTTTGGGGCCGGGATGCTGCAGGAGGCTGAGCGCCGCTAGGGGATGCAGTGGCTCAAAGGACCAGGACAGGCCGCCAAGGTTGGAGGCCGCAGGGCCCGCCAATCGCGGCCCGGCCACAGCCTCGCCCGTTGATTGGCTCCTTCTCCTGCCCCGCCCCCGCCCCGCCCTTCGCGGGCCGGCTCTGAGCCCGGCTCCCTCCGCCCGGAGCGCCCGGCTCCGCAGCGCGAGGCCCGGGCCCTGGGAAGGTTGCGGCGCTGTGCCCGGCGGTCGGGCTGGGGTTCAGTGTATGGGACCGAGGATACACGCCGGGAGCCGGAGTAAGTAAGGAAAAGTTGGGTAACTGGCATGAAGACCCGGGCTCCATCCAACCCATCGCACTGCAGTTAGAACTAGTTCGAGTCTTTCTCCCTCGCTCCTTTTCATCCATCGCAATTGTCACCGAAGTGAAGAGCGCACATCGATTACAGATATTAGGTCTGACTAGGACAGCTGCAACAGCTGCAGCATTCATTTGAGAGTTTGGTTAACGCAAAAGGCTGGGGAACATATTGTTGACAACGACCCCCAAAGCAACGCTGACGTTTCAATCAAAGGCATATTCCTTTTGCCCAATTCTCCAACTCTTAGTCATTTCTCTGGAGAGGCAAATCTCAAAGTACTTGGGCGTTAATTTTTTTATTCTTATCAGTTTTACTTGCGCATAGACCCAAGTCAATAAACTTCCCCAATACTGCCCAGATTGAATTTTAAAAAGTTGCTTATTTAAAAAGTCTGGAAAAGCAAGGCTGCCTGTAAAAATTAACTTTATGAATGGGGCAGGCTGATTTCTCCGGCAGAGAATAATCCACCCAGTCGGATAGAATTGGCAGGAGCTGGAGCCACACTTAAAGGGCCAGTACGCGAGTTCCCTCTAGCCCGTCCTCTTCAGCCCGCCCCCGCCCCCGCCCCCGGCCCCTGCTGCCTCGCCCACCACCCCCGGACCCCCCGCCCGGGGCCTCCCTGCGCGGCGCCCCTTTCCGGTCAGTGGAGGGGCGGGAGGAGGGGCTGGGGGTGAAGCCCTGGAGCGGGTTTGGGTTGCAGTTTCCTTGCGCTGGGGAGGCTGTCCCCTCCTCGCTAGCGCTAGGCTCCTCCCTCTCTCGCGGATGACACTAGAACCTCCTTAAGTTGCGTCGCGCCACAGCTGTCTGCTAACACTGAGCTGCCTGGCGCCGTCTTGATACTTTCAGAAAGAATGCATTCCCAGTAAATCTGAGAGAGGGAGAGAGACAGAGAGAGAGAGGGAGAGCGAGAGAGAGAGCGCGCGCGCGAGAGAGAGGGAGAGGGAGACACGGAGAGAGCGAGAGACCCAGCAAGCCACGCAATCTGACCGAGCACTTTCTGCTCTTCAGGTCGCACTCCTCCTCCTCCTCCTCTCTGCTCCCTGCTACCCAGGTTGGTACGGGCAACTTTTTTTTTTTTTTTTTTAAGTTTGATCTCCCTCCTTCCTCTGCGTTTGGGAAAACTTTAAAACATTTAACTCAACGCTCCTCTCTTGGAGACTTTGTAGAGGCCGGAGGAAAGGTCCTGGGACCTGTACCCCGGAGGGAGGGAGCTGTCGTCCTAGTTTGAAAGCCTCCGTCAGTGCCGGGCTCCCGGGAAAGCTGGACGGTCGGGGTGTCTTTGGGAGCGGTTCTCTCCCGGGTTGCACCCGGGTTTTCTGAGCTCCGTAGGAGGGGCGCGCGTGTGCGCGTGTGTGTGCGTGTCCAGGGGCGCGGGCGCGGACCGGCGGCTCGAGGGCAGGTAGTGCCACTTCATAAACTCAGGTGCCAAGGTACTTAGGAACTCATCCAGGTCTCCCCTTCTCTCCTATGCAGGTGACGTGAGAAGGAACCCAGGCTCGGAGCCGCTGCAGAGGAGCTTCACTAGCAGAATCCCAGCTTTCCTCGCTCCCTCTCTAACAATTTGGTCCCCCTTTTATCCATCCGTACTTGTTTTTTGGAATTTTTCTTTTCCTTTCTCTTCCCTTTGCTAGGCTACCACCCAAAAGATTTTTTTTGAAAATCTCCTTTGCCCACCTTATCTTCCCACCTTCCCCATTCCTCCATTGAAAACAAATCATTAGACGACCCCCGCTCCTCCGACGGCAAGCTCACCTGCATAGCCTCGGAGCCCCAATCGCCTGACCTCCCAGACCGACCGCCCTCCCTCTCCACGCGCGGGTTCCGGGCCCGGCGAGAGGGCGCGAGCGCAGCCGGGGCCATGGAGGTGACGGCAGACCAGCCGCGCTGGGTGAGCCACCACCACCCCGCGGTCCTCAACGGGCAGCACCCGGACACGCACCACCCGGGCCTTGGCCACTCCTACATGGACCCGGCGCAGTACCCCCTGCCCGAGGAAGTGGATGTACTTTTTAACATCGACGGTCAAGGCAACCACGTCCCGTCCTACTACGGAAACTCCGTGAGGGCCACGGTGCAGAGGTACCCTCCGACCCACCACGGTGAGTCTACCCCGGATGCGGAGACCCTACGCGGCCGCCCCTGCTGCCCAGGTCGGAGAGGAAGGGAGGGACCTGGAGTGGGGAGACCCGGCCGAAGCCTCCAAGCGCAGTTACAGCTTCATTTAAAAAAAACTGGGGGCCGGAAATGGGCGAGGAAGCCGTCTCGATCGTCATGAAAGTGTGTTTTTCACAACAGTCACCGAGGCGCCTCTCGGCGGCTGGAGTCCCCGGGGCCTGGCGCTCACCTGGCGGGCGCTGGGCTGCAGTTCAGACTCCCGGAGCGGCTTCAGGTGGGGGCCTCGGAGGGCCCAGGCGCCGGGAGCGAGGCTCTGCCTCCGCAGCCACGGCTTCCTAGCCGGCAGCCGGCGCTGGCTCTACCCGGCTCAGACTCTGTTCTTCCAAAGGGTTCGCTCCCCCAGTTATCCCGTTGTTCTGCCTGCGAGCACATTTCCAGAAAGGCCCGAGAGGCGTCTTTCTTCACATCCCTGATTTTGACCTCTCCCCAAAGCTAGTGCATTAGGTGTCTAGGCAGGTCTGCTACCTCTGGGCTCGGCCCAATGGCATTCTGGTGCTTGAAGGGGTTTCGGTGGAAAGACAACTATCCTAAGGTCGAGAAATACGCAGTTTCCTAGATTCCCGGCTGCACAGAATTTTCCTGCGGCTTTGCTTTAGGTTGCCTCATTGCTGCTCCCGCAATTCTGGCCTTCCTCTCTCCTCCGGCCTACAACAGTCCATTCGGCTCCCAGAGAAGGTTGAGGATCCACCGGGGTTTCTTTTTACGGAGGAACGATTACAATGGCTTTGCCCTTTTTTTCTTTCTCTTTCACCTTGAGAAGTTTGGGAGTTTTGAAATGTTAAAAAGAAACCCAGCCTTGTAGGGGCAAACCAACGCTTCTCGGGGGCATGGGTATTTTAAAAGGAGATACAGCAGCAAAGTTTCACGCTGAGAAAATGTGAGGCTCTCTCAGTCCCTCCGGACAGAGCAGAGGTCTGCCCTCGTCTCCTACTTAGAGCGGAGGTTGGCTCGGGTGACAGAGCCCCTCCGGCACCAGGCGTCCTCCGCCCCACTGTCACCAGGTTTAAACAATTGTTTCTGCGGATGGGGCGCTCTTTGCCCTTGTTCTGTGCAGATCAGCAGTTAGGTGGAAATGCGTGAATGCAGACTTGATACTATTTACTATACTACTTCCTGCATAATCTGAATCTTGACCCTTAATGTTCAGAGAATTCTCCTTCCCTTCCTCTCTCCTCCCCTTCCTCTCTCTTAAAATTTTAGTTTCAGTATTGTTCTTAATGGTTAAAATAGAACGTCAAAAGCTGATGCAGGTACTGGATTAAAAGATCAATGTGTGTGGATTTGAACTTGCAGTTTAAATTTACCCCTCTCAGAGGGTATGGACTTGTTTGGGTTATAGCCTTCATACTTACACAGTTTGGGAACCTTCAAACTGTGTATGAGTGAAAGCACACATAAACTGGAATTTTGTGTGTCAGGATCTTGGGTAAAAACACCACACTGATGCAATCACAACTTTGAGGACATCTGGGTCTTAATTTATTTTCTTCTATAGGATTTGGGAGGGTGAGAAAGGCACCCCAGGGTACACTCCTGAAAACTTTCTCCAGCAGCCTGACTGCTAACAATTTCCCTGCAAATACCATTTCAGGCCCTGCCAGTTATGAGCAAGCACTGAAGTAAGGTTCCATGGAAGTAACCCTAAGAAGCCCCCCTGTCCTCTCTTCCCAGCCCTTTCCTTCCTGCTCTGGGCACCCAGAGCTGGGCACTGCTGCTGGCCTCTCTGCAGGCCAGTGGATTTTGTCCAGTGCTTGTGTGACCAAGCTCAGCCCTTCAGGCCTCATCACTCACAGCCGACTCTTATCAGGTTGGCTGGGACCGTGTCTAGGATGGGGGACCCCAGGCCATTGAAGGAAGACAATAAATCAAGTCAGGTTCTAGAGAGGGGTCTCAGGGGATGAGATTTAGAAAGTGTATCTGGAGAGGCCAATAAGCCAAAGGGCCCTTCCTCACTCCATCGCAGCACCTCTCGGGTGTCAGACACAGGCCCTTTATTCCGTGGGGTTTGATGGAATGTTTGTGTGGGAGAGAGGGGTGAAGTGTGTGCTGGCCAAGGTACTCAAGCACTGCTCGGAGTGGAGGCAGTGGACCTGCGACCAGGTCCAGGCCGTGTTTGGGGTTTTCCCGACAGGGAAGCTGGGGTGAAGCGTAGAATCTGCAAGTGGTCTTCGGGCGTTGGAGCTGCTCTCACCAGCCTGTCTTTCTCCTGTCCTTTCTCACAGGGAGCCAGGTGTGCCGCCCGCCACTGCTGCACGGATCCCTTCCCTGGCTGGATGGCGGCAAAGCCCTGGGCGGCCACCACACCGCTTCACCTTGGAACCTCAGCCCCTTCTCCAAGACGTCCATCCACCACGGCTCCCCGGGGCCCCTCTCGGTCTATCCCCCGGCCTCATCCTCCTCCTTGTCGGCGGGCCACTCCAGCCCACACCTCTTCACCTTCCCGCCAACCCCACCGAAGGATGTCTCCCCGGACCCGTCCCTGTCCACGCCTGGCTCAGCCGGCTCGGGACGGCAGGACGAGAAGGAGTGTATCAAGTACCAGGTGCCGCTGCCCGACAGCATGAAGCTCGAGTCGTCGCACTCTCGGGGCAGCATGACCACCCTGGGAGGGGCAGCCTCGTCGGCACACCACCCCATCACCACCTACCCACCCTACGTTCCAGAATACAGCTCCGGACTCTTCCCCCCCAGCAGCCTGCTGGGAGGCTCTCCCACCGGCTTCGGGTGCAAGTCGAGGCCTAAGGCAAGATCCAGCACAGGTAGGAGCCTGCTCGCCCCTGGGGTCCCTTCTCCTTTGCCTCTTGCGTCTCCTAAGTCCAGGGTAGGGAAAGGAGAGCCCAGTCTGGCCCTGCTGGGTGCGTTCCAGACCCCTCTGAGATTTGATTTCTTCCCATTCTAACAGCGCAAAGAATGAGGTGTGTCTCTCCTCCTCCAGTCTTCAGAGCAGAGGGGCAGTGGGATCTAATTAAACCCCCAATGAGCTGAGGAAGGAAAGAGACAAACCCAAACACAAACCCTCCCCTGCCTGCTGGGGGACTTCTGGGTTCTGCCAGTAACCTTCACTCAGTTTCCAAGACCAAATGGAAGGCGAGGGAATAACTCTTTAGTGTTTAATGCTAAAACGAAACCTCCTGAAACCTAAACAAACACAGGTTCCTCCTCTGACCCTTCCTGGCCTCTGGGTCCCTTTGACTGTTCCTCTTGGCCCAGCTCAAACAGGGTCATTCAGTGAACAGAGGACAGCCCTTTATACAGACATGTATAAATAAAGTGTGTATATATATTTTTCCAGTGGGCATGACCCTGCAAAAGCAGCCCACATATTCTTTGCATGGAAAAGGGGGCTCTCATAGTAACCCCTGGGACAGCAAGGCAGGCTCTGCCCCAGGGAAATGGCTGCATGTAGATCGAAAGTAGACAAGTGCCAGTTACCTGCAGCCCAGGCAGGGGCAGGGAGGTGTCTCAGGACGTAGTCCTCTACTGATCGGAAGCCAGAGGAGGTGGGAAGGACTGCAAAAGATCTCCAGGTGTGTGTGTGTGTGCTTCCTCTGCTCACCCTCTCTCCAAAAAGCACACCCTGCCTTAACAGCTCACTGCTTTTTTATTGATTCTGTTGATGCAGACACTTGCATTAACGCCTCCCACCAACCCACAAAAAGTACTTTTTCTTTAAAACTGAAATAACCCACGACCAATTTTGTTTCTAACTGAAGCAGTTGAATCAGAAAGTTCAGGATTCTCTTGAGATGAGATTTAGTTATGTTTTTAGAGATGATTTGGTGGAGACTGTGTGTCTCCTTGGGTGGGTGTGTCCATTTCAGGGTGGGCAACTCGGCCCTGGTCCTTTCCAACAGTCTTGCCTCTGTCCTCTGTCTATGGAGTTTCTATATACAAAGAAGTAAGGAGAGACCGCTTGTCGTCTCTGGGCGAGACGAGCAGTCTAGAAACGGAGCTGGCAAAACCCTGTTTAGAAAACCTGTGAGGGAGGGCTCTGGGCACCCAGTGACCATGGGATCGGTTTTCAGGGTTTTTTTCCAGGGTGACATTCACTCCGACTGCCTGGGCAGGACTGTCTCTATTTAGTTGATATGTTTTAGCTAATCCAATTATTTTCAGACTGCTGCACGCGACAGTTGCATTGTTTATCCCGCGCCAGGAACTTTAATAGAGTCCGGATGCGGTTAGGCTGACAGAAGAACTCAAACCTGCATGTTCAGTACATGAAAGTCGGCAGAGGGAGAGGGAGGTAGGCTGCTGGTGGAGTTAGAGAGAAAGCAAGAGGGAGAGCGCCCCGGAGAGTGGCCGGGCTGCCGGGTCAGAGGCAGGGGGAGTGGCGTGGAGTGGAGGGTTCCACGGAAATGGGGTGCAGCATTTAGCAGAAAACCCGGGACTAGATCCAGGCTTGAGGGCCGATTGCAAAGAAAGCAGACCTCTGTACTTTGAGGTAGTGATGGGATTTTATTTTTAAGTTCTCTTTTCTGGTAGGGCTAAAAGTTTGGGGGGAAGATTGTGGTATTTGAGGCTGGTGTGGTAGTTGTGTGTGGGGGAAGGGGCAGAGTACCTTTCCCAAAGCCTCTGGTTTCTCTGCCCTCATTTCCATGTTTGATCTCCCTCCCTCCCCCAACACACACACCTTCGGCCCTCCATTCAGTCTTTTCCTTTCTCTCATCTCTTTCCTTGAGCCTGTGAACATGAATATTTGGGAGGGGGTGGGGGGTACGCTGCGGTTTCTCCGAACCAGAATCAGGGTACCCATATACTTATTTTATTTTATTTTTTTGGTGGGGGCAGAAATGAGATGATTTAAATTTGGCTTTTTACTTCCTCCTCTTATTCCTTTCTCACAGTCAAAAAAAAAAAAAAACAACAAAAAAAAACCAAGGCCAGCACACCTGGGCAGCAAGGGCGCTGGTACTTTTGGGAGTGTGGGAGCAGGGAGAGGAAGTTTCTAGACCCTCTTCTGTGTAAAGAGGGTGGAAGTGGTGGGAATTCTTGAGGAGGGGATTCTCTTGGTTTTAGTGGTTGCTTTTTTTTTTTTAACCTCTTCTTTGCACTTGCCAAAGGAGGAGACGAGAAGAGAGGGTTGTCGCATTTTGGAGAAACGGTTGAGCTGTGGTTAGGGCACCTATTGCTTTTCTAACCAGGGCTGGCGCCTAGGATATGTCTTTGCAAACAAAAGACAAAGCCTTTTTGCAAATGGCCAGTTCTGAGCTCCCCTCCTGTGGGCATCTCACTGTACCCCCCTCTTCACAGCCGCCAGCCACTGCTCCCTGCCCCTGACATTCAGCCTCGTTTCAGGATTTCAGTAGGAGGCGAAGGGGTGTTTGAAAATGGCTGTTGAATGTCAAGAGGCCGCGCAGCTTTGTGGTTCTTGTCACCTAAGAGAGAGGTGTCTGTGCGAGCTGCTCACACCAGGCAGCCGGTGAGGAACAGGAAAGAAAGCAGGAGACGGTCAGGGCCTCCATTAGGAAAATTGGTTGTTTGCTGAAGTCACAGACTGGAGGCAACAAGGAGAAAAGAAAAAAAATAAGTGAAACCCACACAAAGTAATCGCAAACTTGCGGAGTGAATCAAGACAGAAAATTGCTCTACTGAGCAGAGCCTTGCTGGGGAGGCAGCCGTTGCTAGTTCTTAAGGTCCCTCTGAAAAGGAAGCTGTCATCCTCTCCACTGCTTGACAAAGGAGAGGAAATCAGACTAATCTCACACCCTGGGAGATCCCCCCAGCCCAAGGTGCTCATGAGCAGGGCATCCAGCCCTGAGCCACCGCTAGTGGGGTGAGAAGGGAGTCAGAGAAACCTCGCAGCAGCTCTGCCAGTGCCCAAGTAGGAAAGGGACAAAATGTCTGGGGACCTGAGAGGCCCCTGTCTTGGTAGGTTGGGGAATGGGCAGCCCAGCCAGTCCAGGGCGGCACCCCTGTCACCAGAAGGGACTTGCCTGCCTCCTGGCTCAGGCAGCCCCTGGCACCTCCTCACCTACGCCTACGTGCCCCTTCCTCCTTCCTCCATGCCTTCCCCACATCCGCTGGCCACAGCCCACGGGCTTGGACCCCAGTGAAAGGTGTCTGGATACAGTTCAGTCCAAAGCCTGTTTTGAGGACTGGTGGAAGCAGCTGGGTCCCTAGAGAGTGGTTTTGGCACATCAGGACCACGTTTTTGTCGATAATCCCCGGGGTTCTTGGAGGGTCTGTGTAGACTGCAGGTTAACAAGAACCTTTTCAATTTGGAGCAAAAGAAGTAATAATAACATCTCTCTTAACTTCTAAATTTTTTTTTAAACAAAATGAACAAAAACAACTCAGCACCATCATGGACTCCAAAGTGAAAGGAGGCAAAACCTTCTTCCCTTCATAATCTAAAAGTCCTTTTCCTTCTCCAGATTTGGCCCTGGAGAAAAGCATAAGTCACAGGTGTAAGCTCTCCATTCCCTGATTCCCTCATACTTGGTCTGGGGGTCCCTAAAGGTAGAACAGACCCCAGCTCCCAGGCCAGCCTTGCTCCCCCTGTGAGGAGTCAAGGTTCCTCCGTGCCCTGTTGGGTTTTCCTTGCCTAGCCCTGCCTGTCTTCCTGGTAGTTTTGAGTTAGCTAATTGATCTCTTAAAATAACCTGTAGGGGCTCATCTTTCTCTCCTACCACCCCCCAAAACCTCCCTCTCAGCACCCCAAAGAAAACAAAACCATGTTCTTCCTCTCCCTTCCTCTGGGAAGTCCAGCTAGTGGGGCCACTGGCTCCTTCAGGGTTGGGACCCGGCTCCCCTTATGGAGGGTATGGTCCTTTGCGGGTCCCATCTCAGGGCAGCCAGGTGAGGAGAGCAGCCCCCAACAGAGGGACAGTCTTACCCAGAAACCATCCTCCTGCAGAAGTTGAAAAGCAGTCAGTAAGCAAACTGCCCCTGTGTCCTAAGATAGTATTTTGAGGGATCCCCTTCTGGACCCTTTCCCTCAGGTGGTGGGTCTGGCTCACTCTCCTGCCCCTGGAGTGAATGCTGCCCTAACCTGGCCTGGCCGGTTTTTGTTTATTTTTGTTTGTTTTTTTTTTTTGTAGAAAGAGCAACTGCAGGCAGGCTTTGGTTAATGAGCCGACCAAGAGCTCTCCCCACCCCCTTCCCTAACTAGCCTGTTCTTCTGATCTTGTGCCCTTCACGCTGCCCCTCTCAACCCACTCTCCTTCCCTTTCCCTCCCCCACATCTCCAGATCTCCAGGTTCCTTGCCTAAAGAAGACACTTGGGTCCCTGTCACAATGGCATGGAAAACCTTGGCCTTTTCTAGAGGAAAGAAGATGGGGAAATGAGTCGACTCTGCTGGGTCTTCATGTATTAGTTGCCAGCCAGGAACATTTACAGTTTTATTGGAAATAAAATCTGAAGCCCTCACCACTGAAATCAATCAGCCAATTGATCGATCTATTCATCTGTTTACTATCTGTTTATCTATCTTGCCATTGATTCATCTTCCCTTTCTTCCCATCCTAATCTTTATTATTTAATCAATCTGTATAGACAGACTTAGTGATGAGAATGGGTCACCTTTGTTTTCCTTTGAGGGAAATGAATGGAATGTTTGCCTTTGCATGTCTGGGGCTCAGGATTTTCTCAGGGAACTATTATAAGTTGAACTTTGCCTTGGTCCTCGGCAATGGGTAGGCCCAGAACAAGGGTCTGCTGCAATTTATTCGTGGCCACTGCTGTGTGTGTGGGTTAGGCCGTGGCTGGCTGTCCAATAACTGTTTTCGCCTCGGCAGCCACCTTCAGAGAAGATGGGTGTGGGAAAGTTCCCCAAAAGAGGGAGAAGAGAGAAAAAGTTCTCCGTTTGACTGTTATCCCCTAATTCCGTGCACTGTCATCTTTTCTGTGGTTTATTCCTTCCATAAGTGACTTATGTGTGATCTTGTTTCCAGAAGGCAGGGAGTGTGTGAACTGCGGGGCGACCTCTACCCCACTGTGGCGACGAGATGGCACCGGGCACTACCTGTGCAATGCCTGTGGGCTCTACCACAAGATGAACGGGCAGAACCGACCGCTTATTAAACCCAAGCGAAGGCTGGTGAGTTGTCTTTGGGAAGCACTGACCCCGCACCAACCATTTGGTGTTTTTCATTTCCTCTCTCCGGGAAGGAGAGCTTTCTGCAGGAAATTAGCAGGACAGCTCAAAAGCATGTCAGCTTGCTAGGGATAGTATTTTTTTTCCCTTTTCTGTTTTCAAAGTAGACATACAGAGACACTTTCTCTTTACTTCCTCTCCATGTTTCTTAAGTCACTTACCAAAGTTTTAAGGGTGCTGACTTCTTGGTTACAAATCTGAAATTATTTGCTAGTTGAAGGAGTGCTTTAACAGGACCAGAACCACCGATCTGAGATGCCTTGATAATCACTGTTTGACAGACAGAGAAACTTAGTATGAGGATGGAATGTCCCAGGCACCCCCTTAGAACTTGGTCCTGAAGTGGTGTAAGAGGGGTTCCGGGGAGTGATCGCAGCCTCAGTGCTGGATGAGTCTTGTGCACCAGTGACTTCAGGTTGATGTGGCCAGTTAACAGGGTTTCACAAGATGCAGGCATTGAACTCGGTGGAGTCTTTCACAAGTAAGGTGGAGTCTTCCAACAGGTAACTCCTGTGAGAAAAACTGTGTAATTCGTGGCCTGCCTGTTGGTGTCACCCAGCATTTGGTCTTAGAACCCCTTTGAACTGCTGTTGCTAGGATGCTAGTTTTTTCCTCCCTCTTTTTTCTTTCTTAAACTTCTTGACCCTTATAAATACTTGAGAAAACCTGGTACTGCCAAGTATTTATTAGGAAAACTAGCAGAAGTTCATTTGTCAACTTCGGGACCTCGGGCCAGCTTGAATAACAAGTGCATATCACAGGCAAATAAAGGCAGGCTTGGCAAATGATAACTCTAACCGCAGTCACGAGATCAAAATGCTTTTTGTGGTGATGACACTCACCAGGTAGGGAGGGGAGGAGGGGGTCTTCCCCTTGCAGATTGATTGGTGAGGAAGTATCCATCAAATTCTAAAGGAGGGGGGAATCCAAATCTTTCTGTTCTTTTTAAAGAATTATGTGTTTCCCCCATCAGATTTTAGTGCAACTCAAGACCTTTCACATCCTCTTTAGAAGAAGGAAACACTTTCTAGGGATGGAAGTGCCCATGTGACTAATTTTTGGCAATCCTTAGTCTCTAGGCTTTATTCTTTCTGATCTTTGCCCCTTTCTCCAACTTTCTCAATCTCCCAGTCCCCATGTACTTTGGGTTTTTTTTTCTTTCTCTCTGTGCAAAGCTAACTTCCTAGGAAAAAGCTGCCGGATATCTGAGCACTGGAGATAACTCATAAACAACAACTCAGCTTCCCTAACCTAAACGTCAAGATGTTTGAACGGATCAGAGCAAGACATGTTTGAAAAAAATATGGCTGGAGGTGTTAGCACAGAATGAATATGATCACACCGCAAAAGAATGTTCTGAATCACTCAAAACCTGGCCTGCGTAAAAAAAAAAAAAAAAAAGGAAAAGAGAAAAAAAGAAAAACCTAACAACAAAAACCTTTTTGTTAAAAATAAGTTACGGTACTGTTATATAGATTTTCTTAAGGTAAAAGTAAAGAAGGAAAAAGAGGAAGTAAAGTCTCAGAGTATGGGCTGATTGATGAGCAAGAGTGCCTTTGACATTTTCTTGGGGTTTCTTCTGTCTGGGCAGATTGCATAGGAGACTCTACTTACATTTTATATAATTTTGTCTTCATTCACCTTTCATAAACAACCTCTAGATTCTGAGTAACAATTACTTTGAATTCTAGAGTTCATTGGCTGTCACATTTTCAGCTGTCTTTTCTGTCTTAGTCATCTCTTCTGGGTGGTTTTATATTTTTAGTTCCATAGAATTTATATGCTCCGTTCTGAGAGACACTCAGAGCACATTCAGGATTTTTTTTAGCCCTTTAATGCATTTGACTTCTGACTACCTAGAACCTTTCTTTTTCTTTTTTCGTATATTTTCTGTCCATCCCAGCTTTGTCTCTGTGGTTTGTTATTTTCCTTTCTGCGCATTTGCAGATTCACTGATGACCACCCAGCCCAACATGTAGCTAGCTGCCCTGTCAGATGCATATCTAACACTGAGTAAACTCACGCAGGAAATAGGAGAAAAGACTGAGGGCAAGGGCCATAGAATTCTTTCCTCAGTGTCTCTGGGATTTTCCTAGGTTTAACAACCAGCTGAGCAGCTTGCTTCATTAATGTATTTTGTATCCAGCTGGTGAACCAAACAGTATGCTTTGAGAGGTTCTGTATAAATTCGCATAAAGTCTGTAGACCGGAGATGTATTCTGAGTCTGCTCCTATTTATGAAACTGTCACTATACTGCAGAGGATGCACTGTGAACCTCATCATTTGGAGCTTTAATTTTACCGGCTGGCCTCATGTGCCTGTGTGACACATTCCAAATTGTTGGGCTGGGAAATCCGGTGCCTGAGTAGATATTAGTCTACTATATCCGGGTATTTCTTTTAAAGGAAAAAAAAGTACAGGAAGATAATAATAATCACATAATAACATAATTGTCAAAATCATTAAGCACTGATTTAATGTATTATTTTCTTCCCAAGAGTACAGAAGAAACAGTTATTTAAGTCTTAAATTACCACATTTCATAATTTAGGCAGGTGGGGTTGGAGGCAGCGCTCTTGGACTGTATTGAATTATTCTCAGAACGGACAGACAAAAAGTAGAATCCTTTTGATTATGGTAGATAAGGGCTGTTTTTAACTCCCAGTTCCTTAGAATACAGAAAATAAAGAATTACTACTATAGAAAAAGGGGGCTCTACCATTTAAACCTGTAGGACAGAGGAGTATATCTGTGGAACAATTTAGTGGCTTTGAAAGGAAAGGAATCAGTCTGGTTAGTTCAGAATTGCCACTGAATTTTCCACACTTGGCAGCTTCGGATCTTTGGCCCAACGTTTTGCTTGATAAAATATTGATGGAAATTCCTGTCCTTTTTTTCCCATGCATTTATAACCATGCCAGAAGTTTTTCTGATCAAGCTAGCTGAATTCTTTTTCTTCCTCTTGCCTTTGGTAATTTTTCTGACCTCAGGTGCAGGAGTAATTTTGTAGTTAAAGTATTCTTTTTATGTTGTCGGGGGTGGGGCTGAGGAGGTAAGAGATGGATGCTAGAGGTGACCTATTTTTTTTCCAAAAGTTTTTGAGTTTATTATTTTTTTTCCCAGGGTAGATATAGAGAATAATCCCCATATAAATGTGTGTCAAAAAAGTGAAAGACAAATTTCCCTTTCAAAAGAAATTAAGGCAGTGACACAATCAAATAATTAAAATTCAAGTTGAGACTGACATTTGACCTGGCACTATTGTGCTCTGTGAACAGCAAATAGAAAATACCTAATTTCCAGAAGGTGGAATGAGATGAGGGCAAGGGGAGGGGCTGTGTTCCTGTTGACAACCTAAATTCCTTCTTCTTTATAGTTTGTCTCATTAACTAAAAGCCACCTAAAGAGACTGAGGATGGCTGTCACTGTGAGTGACCAAGTCTGAAAGCGTGGGCCGTGTACGTTTCGGACTGTGGCAGACTTGCTGAGGTCCTGTTCACTTCAGATGTCCTGCCTGTTGCTTCCTAAATTACACACCCATGAGTACAGACCTCACACATGTGCAGCCTCTCTCACTCTCTTAGCACTCTGTTCTCTTTGTAAGCCAGCATTTCTTTATTCGGGGTCTATAAAGTGCTTTTGACGCTTTGAGGATCGCTCCTACTTTACTGTTAGTAACTGTGATGGCCAGGAGCCTCGCTGAGAAGTGGTGTCAGAGCAGTTGCCCTTGAAAAGCTCTTGTGGGCCTGGCGAGTAAGGCTACTAAAAGCCTGCTACCCAAACTAGTCCGCTTAATTCAAAATTGCACCCATAAAAATTAACCATCTGGTGGATTTTGTGGGATGGGAATAGGGGGTAAATTAACTCAGGGGGTGTTGTTGTCCTTCTGGTCCTCCCACATTCTGCGTAGGAGCACAGGGGGCTAAATTTTGACCGCTTGGCTGCAGGCTGACACACTCGTCTGCCGATGGATTGGCTACATTTTTCTTCTCGAGGCTGCTTTTGGGGATCTTCCTTACTTTCATGTGGGCCACCTGCTAGTTTTGATTTCAATGATAATTTTTTTAAGTCTGTCTCTGTAGTTCTGAAAACACATTTTACATTTGTTTTGATTTTCTCCCCTCCCTTCTCCCCACTCTCCAGTCGGCAGCCAGAAGGGCAGGAACGTCCTGTGCAAACTGTCAAACCACCACTACCACTCTCTGGAGAAGGAATGCCAATGGGGATCCTGTCTGCAATGCCTGCGGGCTCTACTACAAGCTGCACAATGTAAGTGTCATGGGGACCAGCCACAGCCATCTCCCTTGCTGACAAGGCCCAGTGCACAGCCTCGCCCTTCCCGGGTTCCCCTTCTCAACCTGCATTGCCATTCTTTGGGCCAAACAACAGGCCAGATAATAATCAGTGCAGCAGGGCCCAGGGCAGGGAACTGCTTTGTACAGTGTGGCCTTGCTGAGAGTGGACGGTTTAATGACAGGACAACTCAGCCCTCCTAGTAGGCGCGGAGAACACGGGAAAACACCGTTTGCGATGCAGCAGTCCAGCACGGGTGGTGGGACTGGTCTGGGCTTTAAAGCGAAAAAGTCTTCCCCTTGGAAAACAGCAAAAAACAGTCACCATTTATGTTTTTATGTTTCCTTGTGGTTTATGCTTATGGTGCAAAAGAGAAAAGTAACTAGAATTGTAATGCATGGCACATGAATTCCTGAGCAAAAAGGATGAGATTCACCTACTGAGGGGCAAAAGTCTTGGCTTACCCTGTGCTGTGAATTTTGATTGGATTCTCTGTATAGAAGCTATGAAAGAAAATGTCTGAGAGGTTACTGGGGAAAAGATACTCTGCCTTTATTTCTCCTATGTATCATATTAGCAGAATGATAATTGCCTGTCCATCACCTGGGTTTAGGTGTCATTTCTAACCTTTTAATTTGGGGACCTCGCATGTTATCGTGTCGTCACCTAAAAAATGTTTTTCCCAAGACAGCTCTGGCTGACAGGCCTTGACCTCATGAGGCCTGCAGTTTGCCTGGGTCCCAAAGACAGCATTTTCCTTTCCCTCTTGCTCTCATGCTCTTCTTTGGCTCTGCTGGGTATTCCTAAAATCCCGTGGCCAGTTTGACATTGGCAAAGTCTGGGGCTGAACGGGGGGAAAAGGCAGAGAGCTTTTTGCTCGAGGCCATTCTGGCAGTCACCTCTTCTTACCTAGGAATACCTGGGAATTGGGGAGGAAGCATTTCTGGTTAAATTTTTTGAGTCACAGGGGAACTTCTCAGGGTAACCCCAGCACCCTTGTCCTTTTCTACCTTTTGGGAATAAGTTGATGAGATTCCCGGGGAACCTGTGAAACTCACCTCCCTGCCTTCAGTGGACCCCGTCTTGACACAGTGCCCCAGCAGGGCCAGCACTGATGGAGCTAGAATCCTTCCTACAGTTGGTTCTTCACTCTCAGATCCCCGGACTGTGGTCTGTCTGCATTTATCAGCATTGAAGCTCAAGTCCTGTTCTTACTTGGGGGAATTTACTTGCTCATCACAGTGGAGATAAGCAGATTTGTGATTGAAATCTGGAAGATTTGGGGCATTAGAGTTTATGAGCTACCTAGTCATTGGCATAGCCTATAAAATTATTTTAGAGTTGTAATTTATGGTTTTCAAAGAACTTTCATGTTCTTACATTCTCATGTTCTTCTATGTTTTCATGTTCTCAAAGAACTTTCATGTTCTTATGTTCTCGTGTTCTCTTAATGAGTGTGTCCATCATGCTCATTACCTGAGCATAATGGAACCTCGAGTAGTCCCATGAGGTAGACAGGGGAGAAATTATTTTTATTTCCAGTTTACTTCAAGAATTGTGACTGACAGGAGCAAGCATTTGTATGAAGGAACGTGCTGGTGAAGTGGGAGAGGCAGGACCGATTCAGAGTAGCAGCTTCCTGTGAGGCATCGGGACTGACAGGGACCAGCGGAAAGTGCATGCTTTCTCGGTTTAGACTGTGCCCGAGTTCAATCGAAACCAATGGATTGTGTGTGATCATATATGCTTTCCCATTTCCATAAAAGTATGGGAATTGTGGGAAATTAACAAACCATAAATTTCTTTGATTCCTTAGCCACCATGAGATAGGATCTCAGTTGTGTCCAGGCTAAGAAAAATATCTCTGGAGAATAGGAATTTCTCATCAAATCACAGAAAAGTCTGGGAACCCTCCTCCCTGCTCATTCTCCCCTGTTCTTCATTAGCTCCGACTTCGTGGCTGGGCTCCAGTGGGAGAGAAACTTGCTCATCAGCAAAGTGGCTATTCTGTCTTCTCTGGTTTAGTAGGAATTCACCAAAAAAAGCCTATTTGTGTGTATTTAACAATAAGAGATAATAATCTATTAACGTTCTCTTCATGTTGTTTGGTTCTGCCCATCGAGATACCTGTATATGTATGCTATAAATTAGTTGCTTTCTGCTTATCTGGGTGTTTAGATAACTACCTATCTCAGTATCAGTGTATCTAGGTGGCATTGGGACTAGTTATCTGGGTTTGTGTGGCTATCGGTGTAACTAGATATTATATTTAGATACCTGCTTGTGTGTATCTAGATACCCTGGTAAAGAGTTGTGTGTCTAGACATTATCTGGGGGAAGATTTGATGTGACAGTAGATTCCTATCACTTATGTAGGCAGCACCTTCACCTTGATTATAACTTTGAAGAAGGAACCCAGAGACGTTCTTTTGGCAATGACCTTTTAGCTCCTCTGCTATCACTCACACTGCTTTCCTGGCACAAGGGGGAAAGCTCGGGGTGAGTTCCGTCTCCCTCCTCGGGGACGTCTCTCAGCTCAGCCCCAGGAAGCTATGTGCTTGTTGCTCCCAGAAGTATGGCCAGCAACTTGTCCCTCTTTGCTGCTGGAGTTCTTTCTTCCTTAACTGCCATTTGCTCACTTTTGGAGCACACAGGTAGACCCTGGAATCAATTGAACCTTCTTCTTTTTTTCCACCCTTGAAGGCCATGGAGGAAGAGGACATTTTTTCCGTAAGGAGTCAAGAATGACCTAGACCCTGACATTTGCTCCTTGAGTTGCTTTGGCATATTTCTCTGGAAACATGGCCAGATACGTGGTTTGTTAGTGGGACAGATGACTGCTATTGCTGTTAATAGGATGCTGACTCCTGGTAGAGATTGGTCTCTGTGACTTCGTTATGTCCCCTCTTTGGATTCATCTCACCCTCCAAAGCAAATGTATTTTGAAAACACAGCAAATGAGTCTTACAAAGAAGAGAGGTGTGGTATGCTGTCTCAGAGGCTGAAGACTTGGGATTTTTCAAGTAGGCTCTTGCCTCTCTCTCTTTAGTTCATTCCTGGTCTTTGATTTTTAAAATGAGATTACTTTCATGCTAGTATAGTACTTTGCACCCCCTTAAGTGGTTATTAAATACTTGTTGGTTGGTGGTTTAGCTGTGTGTCTAGTTTTAAGTGGTTAGAAATTGTAATTTTAGGTAGGTAGGTTATGTTAGGTAGAAATTGTAATTTTAAATCATTGCAGTTGCTGTGACATGGGCAAGAGGCGACCTTTTGCAAACACACATTTTACTAAAATATGACCTCAGAACATACAAATTCCTGAGGAAGACTGGACAGTACCTCTCATTGTGAAAAGGCCAGGTAGAACAGACGCAGCCTCAGTTTCCTTTGAATCAAGGTGCAGTCCTAGTTTCTCAAGGCAGATAGGGACTTAAACACTTGAGATAGATTGCTTTGGCTGTGCTTTTCAAGTCCTGACACGACTTCAGACGAGTAGACAAAATGTTATTTCCCCTGGAAGATTCCTTGATTACTTCCATTCTCAGGAAATATTCTAAGGAGATTGATTCTAGTGGAGTAAGACAAGTTACTGTATTTTAGGGATGTATGATCATACTGGGTGGGTCTCTAGGATACGGTCCTTGGAACACAGGGTTCCCTGAGTCAGATTTCTCCCCGAACGACTGATGTGGATGAACATAATTAATAACCTCTGCTTGGAACACCTTTCCTGTGGTCTCTCAGTTTCTGAACCTGACAGAGGCTGACAGTCAGAACTCTGCCACAGACCTAACTTGCGGGACTCGGGGTCCCCGGGAAGGAGGCAGGAAGGGGTGGGAGGAAGGGGCCCCCTGAAAGCAACTCCCCAGCTGGGGCAGTCAGAGGAACCCATGTTGGGGTGTGGAAGCCTGCACCATTTCAGAGCCAGCAAAAAAGTAAAAAAAAAAAATTGATCTTTGTTTAGATTAACAGACCCCTGACTATGAAGAAGGAAGGCATCCAGACCAGAAACCGAAAAATGTCTAGCAAATCCAAAAAATGCAAAAAGGTACACGACACCCTGGAGGACTTCCCCAAGAGCAGCTCCTTCAACCCTGCTGCCCTCTCCAGACACATGTCCTCCCTCAGCCACATTTCACCGTTCAGCCACTCCAGCCACATGCTGACCACTCCGACGCCGATGCACCCGCCATCCAGCCTCTCCTTTGGACCTCACCACCCTTCTAGTATGGTCACCGCCATGGGTTAGAGTCTCTGCTCGATGCGTAAAGGTCTCCAGGCGAGAGTCCCTCCGGCCCCTTCTACGTGCATTTTTGCAGGAGCATATCATGAAATCGAGAACTGATGGATATCTGGTTTTTGAAGGCAGAAGGCAAAATGATGTTTGCTACTTTTGCCGAGGAGCTCACTGTGGTGTCTGCATTCCCAATCACTGAATCTGGATCCCATTTGTGAATAAGCCATTCAGACTCATATTCCCTATTTAACAGGGTCTCTCTAGTGCTGTGAAAAAAAATTGCCGAACATTGCATATAACTTATATTGTAAGAAATACTGTACATTTGAAGAAGACTTGATTGCATCTGGGTAGCTGTAAGGAAGGCATAAAGGATGCCGAGAATTTTAAGGAAGATGGGGGAAATCAAGGATGGAGATTAAGAAGAAACTAGGTCTGATGTCCAAATGGACAAACTGCCTTTCACTGGCCACAGGTGTTTGATGCATTAAAAAAAGAGAAAAAAAAAGAAAAAAGAACAAAAAAAAAGTTGTAGGCGAATCATTTGTTCAAAGCTGTGGGCCTCTGCTTAGGAAATTCTACGAGTTTGGGCAATCGGTGTTAACACTCACATTTTGCCATCGAGGGTTTCAGATAGCCTTTTCCAGGCCTACATGCTGCGTGATCAAGTCCCTGTAATTGTTGTTTGTATGTATAATTCAAAGCACCAAAATAAGAAAAGATGTAGATTTATTTCATCATATTATACAGACTGAATCGTTGTACAAATTTATTTACTGCTAGTGTTAAGCTCTGCTTTTTTTGTTTAATATTTCCCTTCTCTCTCAATTTTTGGTTAAATAAACTAGATGACATTCAGTTGACCTAAGGTGATTGTGCTCCGGAGGGCTTCTTTTCCTTTTTGCTTTCTGATGATATTTATTAAAATAGCTTCTAAGGGTACAGCAGCATCTGTCGTCTCACTCCTCCCCGCAGTCTGTGCTATGAGGGTAGCAGTGTATGAGCTACCGCGTGCATGTCAGCGCCTTAGGCCGGACAGACCTGGTCCTGGGAGCAGCCTGGCTGATTGTTAGCTCTGTTGTGTTCTGTGTTAGTGATCACTGCCTTTAATCTGTTGGAATAATAATATCAAATAATAATAAAGTGAAAATATTTAAAAAAAACAGTAACATCGTATCAAAATGGTGGCCATGCTCTTCTAGAACCTGGTAGCTCTAGCTAATTTAAGAAAAAGGAGTTTAACAAGAAACAACGCCCAAACATGCAAACTCCAGATCGTCCACACTTGTTCCTTTGGGAAACTGGGCCTCTTCGGAGCCCTGTCTGTAGCCCGGAGGAGTTTATTCTGGGGCAGGAGTTACTTCTGTGGTCCCTTAGTGAGCTGCAGCTTCCTCACCTCGAGTAAACGAGCTCGCAGGAGAAGTGGGAAGATGTCCTCTCTGAGATGCCCAGGTGGACTGCAGCTGAGGGATTCCTCGAGGTTCTCTGCAAGACGTCAAGGAGCTGGGCTGGCTCTTGAGTTCATTTCTGTTTTTGCTTTCCTACTGTCGAATAATGCCATCATGGAGAGTTTATTGGAATGTTCGCGAAACACAGAATAACCGTTTTGTAACTCACACTGTACAGTTTCCTTTTCCTCTGTTGACTGAATGTGTAACTATGGCACACATTTAAAAATCTCTGTTAATCACCTTTCTGCTTTCTTAGCAAATATTTTAAACCTAAAGCTAAATGTTGAAATAAAGGAGTCGAGAATCACTGAGATGCAAACGGAGGTCTTACTGGGTCCTAATTAATGATCTACAATTCTGATGTTTTCAGTTACCTTCAAGGCACCAAAGAAAATCACCACATATTGCCATTTTAAACTTGGGAGGTTTTTCCCTCCCTAGAGAGGGGAAGGGAGGGAGAAAGGTAGAGAAACATCAATGTGTCGTTGCTTGTCACATGCCCCCCACTGGGGACCCGGCGTGCAACCCAGGCATGTACCCTGACTGGGAATTGAACCGGCGACCCTTTGGTTCACAGGCTGGCACTCAATCCACTGAGCCACACGAGCCCGGGAAACTTGAGAGGTTTCAAGGTATGGTTCCAGTGTATCAGGACTCGCCACCTTGCCTCTTCATGAATAGATCTGAGTTAATTAATGCCCTTTCACCTTAAGAACAGGGAGTTCAAATTCTTGACATTCTTAGGGTGGGAGAAGGTGGGCTGGGGGCACACATAGAAAAATCCCAAACTCTGTACTCTAGCTCCATTTGTTTTAGGTACTACAGTGATAGCACATTTGATCTTATTCTTTCTTCAGAGAAATGTCATATTATCATTCTGTATATTGATTTGACATTCCAAGATAGTTCCAGAAGATATGAAAGATTTGAAGAATATGTATGATAGCAATGATTCAGTTTCTTCTTTAGAAGCTTATATGCTTTCCTGGTTTCAATGTGTTTTTTTTTTTTCATTTAAATATAAGACACCATAGAAGAACAGTTCTAGAGAGAGTTTCACCTAGAAAAACAGAATGAGCTTGTAGATCTAAAATATTGCTTAAATATTTTTAGTAAATTTTACCCCTAGTCAGTTTTCAGTGTCTTGCCTCACTTTGGAAATAGTTGCATTAGCTCATCCATAGATTACTTGACAAATATGTGTGCACATTTGGATGATTTCTCTAAAACTTTTAAAAAGACAACATAATAGAAAAAATACACTGTGTAGTTACTGAACCGCATTGCTATTTGTGAACAACTCATATGTCGAACAGTGGAACTTTGTGAAGTAAAAAGTCTGCATTTAAGCACTCTTTTTGTGTATTCAGCAAGTACTTAGGCAGTGTCTAGGTTGAAGTCCATTTAAAACCACTTTTTCTTTAAGCAGTTCAGAAAATAGAGAAAGCAAGACTGCAGTGTCTCATTCTTACTTTGTGACATTTACATGTTATTCCCCTTTAAAAAAAACTACATGTACTGTGGTGAGGTTCCCAGTTGGGCCTCTGGGTTGGTCGCCAGGCAGACAGCCAGCGATAGAAGTGGGGACACCCAGAGCTTGCCTTCTGAGATCACTGTCTATTTTCTGAACCTTTTCTAGGGTTTAACAATTATTTAAAAAGCCGACTCCTCATCACAGGACTTCATTTTAGTATTTCCTAAATCGAGGACTCTGGGGAGGGAGCAAAGTCTTCCCAGATACTGCATGTCTGACCGGAGTTTGGCTAAACACCTGTTCACAAAGTTAAGATTCCCCAACTCAAATGCCATGTACTCCCTGTCTCCGATACTTTCCTCACAATGTGAGTTGTCTCATTTACATTTCAAAACCTTGGAAACATTATTGCCCCTTGTACTCTTTTGTCCCATCCCCCTGTCCTCAACCCCAAATCCACCCCAAAGTCTAGAACCATTTCTGCCATCACCATTGACTTCTCTGCCGATAAATTCCCTTCAATTTCCAAGCTAAGGAGACATTTAAATGTTTTTAAATTAAAAATTAAGAAACAAAAGGACAAAAGAAAACTTTAGAACAATGGCACATTATATTGCGGGTTTATCCACAGAACTCAAATTTTCACCCTTCTTCAAAATAGCTGAGTAACACACCAACTCTTGTGCTTTCAAATGAAACAAACTTCTGAAAAACATTTCCATTTTTGTTTTTTCCCTCTTGCTCAAATCCTGTGAATACACTCTCAGAGTAAACTTGTCCCCACCCTTTGCAGAGGGGCCAGTGAAGGGAAACCCCCAGAATTCAGAGGTACTCATCATTCACTTGAATATGATGATGGTGGTGGTGGTGGTGGTGGTGGTGGTGGTGGTGGTGGTGGTCCCAGGAGTCTGGAACTTGGCTTTGGTTCTTGGCTGTGCCACTAGTGAACAGAACAATCTGAGGCTATTGGTTTGATTTCTCTGGGAGTCAGCTCTTTATCTGTATAGATAGATGACGTCAAGACCCATGTGAAAAAAATACCACAATGCCATTAGATTATGATTATCATCATCATCATCATCAATTTTTCGAGGACATTCTTTATTAGGAAAGGCATTCTCATACCCCCTGTCAGAATTTTGACCAGGGTATTTTAAAAGCCCGGAATGATGGTAGGTCTCATGATTCCAGAAGGGGCTGGGGTACTCCCACTCCCCTTTGTAAAACACAAATTCACTTGTATTTTGTGACTGTCAACCCAGGGCAAGAGTTAGTGTCCCAGTCTGCGGGTTCCCTGCTCTTTCTGAAATGTGTCCAGGCCCCTCTTGAGCAGAACACACAGGACCTACTTGTCCTGCTGATGTTGGCAGCGTGGTTCACATTTCACTCTCCATTGTGTAAAGAAATTCTGCCTGAATGGCTAACAGGCTGTTCGAAGGGACAGCCAGAATCCATTCTGTCTTTTTCCTTGTGGCCCCATCTCTGTTTCTCTTTGGAGAAGGGGATTGACAGAGGAAGCAGATTAAGCTTCTTCCCCAAAGCTGCTCCTTTTAGGGTGCTCCATGTGGACTTGGATACATCCAGGCCTTTCCTTACTTGCCCTTGAGCTTCTTTGCAGGGGATCTCGGTACATTAGTCACATTGTTTGTGTTGTGTTTTTACAATCCCCTGTCATGTCTGTGTGCACAGTCTGGCAGGCTGGCACTGGAGTGGGGATTTGGAGAGCAGGCCCACTGCCCCTGCCCGTCCCAGTCCTGCCCCACCCCGAGCCTGCTCCCACTGAACAGCAGGCATGCATTACAAGGCACGCCTCTGCTCTGTGGTCCCAGCAGAAACCCAAGGACGTGCAAACAGCTGGAGAAGAGCTTGTCTTCCTAAGGAAGCCATTTTGGACCTAGCTTGCACCTCCTTAGGGAGGGAATGGGGAGACAGACAAGGCAGTCTGCCTCCAGAACTGGGTCCCAATGTGGTGAATTGGTCTGAACCGGGTCCCACTGCTGAAAGACTGGTTGATGTCTGCGTGATGCCCGATACTGCCAGGTAGTTGACTAAGAAATCGATCAGCTGGGGATTTTTTACTTATTTGGCCTGAGGGCATAACAAACTGCTAGAAAATGAAAGTTTTTTTTCTAATTATAAAATTAGTTAATACTTATTGACCAAACTTGTAAAGTAACCCTCTCACACACTCAAAAAAAATTTTTTTTAAGAAGCACAAGAAACTGAGGATTTTTTTCATTGTTGTTGACTTGACCATGTGCAGTCTGGTCTCTCAAATGGCTGATCTGGAATGCCTCCTGAATCTGATGGCCCTGGAGGGAGCGCTTGCAGGGGTGGTGCTTGGGTAGAGTGTTTGCTTTCTGACAGTCATTAAGACTCCTTTTCGTGAGCTAGAGGGGGACATTAAATAAAATGTAAAAGGGGGTCTTGTAAAAGGCGGTCACCCTTTCCTTCTCATGGTGGTGGGAGGCTCACTCTCCTTTGTTGGGACTGCCTCTCACAGCCTTGCAAGGATGGCTGGCTCTTCATGAGCACAGACACCAGGCAGCTCCCAACACACCACTTGATTCAGCTACAGTCCCACCCACAGAAACTGCGGACTCCGATCTGAAGCTGCCTGGGTTACCCTTCCACTGATATCCCATAATACTAAGCAGAAATTCTCTTCTAAGTTCTCCTCTGCTGCAGGCACCCATTCCTGTGGGAGGCCCTGAGCAGGTCTGTGTTTTATAAACTGACACTCGGTGCACGAAGCCATCCTGTTCTTCACTTTGAATATCTTCAGGCTCCCTTGCTAGGACAGTGTCGCTTGAGGTACCTTTAATATCTTTCTCTCTTTTTTTTTTTTTTTGGTGTTGTCATTTTTTTCACTTGACAGAAATATGGAACACTTCACAAATTTGTGTGTCATCCTTGCACAGGGGCTGTGGTCATCTTCTCTGTATCGTTCCAGTTTCAGTGTATGTGCTACCAAAGCAAGCATGCCTGGGGTGCCTTTTAGCAAGCTGGGCCTTCTTCAGAGAATTCCACATTTCTTAGCAGTCAACTGATCTGATCCACTTTTCTGAAAACTACAGGACTCCTGACAACTGCTGGGACCCTGGGGGCCTCCTAGAAGGACAGGAGGACAGGTCATCTGTTCATCTTGACCCTTGGGGCTCATTTAGGCTGAACGATGAGAGGAATCAGACTGAAAAAAATGGGTTAGGAGCTGTCACACGATACACATAGGCTATCAAACAAAGCTCGCAACCTATCAGACCACTGAGAAAGGACGGTTAAGCTTCCTGTTGATCACGTCCTGTGTGGAGAGCAAATTGATCTTCTCACTTGATTTCCTGAAAAGCCCAGCCAAGAGGGAAGTTTATTATCCTCGTTTTATGGATAAGAAAATTATGGAATAAAGAAGGCAAGGGACTTGCCCAAAGTCACACACTGGTGGCTGGATTTGCTAGGGCTCAGACCCAGTGGAGTCTCTTCCTTCTATCCTCACATCTCTATCTCCTCTTTGGTCAAAAAATAGCCATTGTTCTTCCCCCAGAGAAAGATATGATTTAGAGGTGAGAGTAGAGGAAAGGATCCCCTTCTTTCTCTCTCTGGGGTGAGGTGTGTGACAGAAAGCTGGGGAGTTTTTCTGCTCCACAAAGTTGATGAGCCCCAGCTGGAGATGGGCCTGTGATCTTGTTCTTATTTGCATGTGACATTAAATCAACTGAAGTCAGCCTCACAGTCTGTGCAGGTCTCCTCTGCTACCAAGGTGCTGGGCAAAGAAATAAGGAGATGCAGAAACTCCTTTCTCAAACCCAGAGCAGTTTTCAATGTGACTCCTAATTTCACAGGGCAACTTGGGGCCCTTGGACCCCAAGGTGAAGTGGGAGTATGATCTTGTTCATCTTACAGTGCGTTTATTGAGACACATGGATGCGATGTGCAGTGAGGAAGCTCTCTTTCTTTGTCTTCTTGCTACTGGGATCTTTCTGTAATGGTGGTATGTAATAAAATGACAGAGACGCCTGTTATTCTGCCCCTCTGAATTGTGTGAAGTGAGGGCATTTCCACAATAGCATTTCACCTGCATAGAAGTTTGATAGAATGAAATGTCAGAGTTTCTAGTGGGTAAGTAGCAGGATACATGTAGGTGGGACCTGGCCTTCTCTCAGCTCCCAGTAAATTATAGCAAATAAGTGGGCATCCCTGGAAGAGGCTTACAATCTCTTCGGGGTAATATGACGTGCCTGGCAACAGTTAGATTGTAAATGCGGGTCTGGCTCACTGGTTGAGCAGGTTCTCATGCTCAGTCCTATGTTTATAACAGAGATGACAGGAGGGCCATGCCTTCCTAATTGGATCAGGGGCCTGGAGCTGCCACTGGGCCTCCCTAAACATGATTGGTGGTGGCACGAAGGGATGCAACTTGGAGCTGAATTCACTGCGCTGCTGTTGCAGCCGGCGTACCACACCCCCCTATCTCATTGGGGGATGGATATCCAGTTTGTGGATTAGACAGACCCTGTGTGCAACTTTTCCTCATGGATTTCAGACCCAGCACCCTCCTCCACTTCTCAGCACATCTGTTTGAAGGCAAGGCAGGACCGTGTACGCAGGCCCACCCGCTCTGCTAATCGCCAGCAGCTCCGATGCAGGTACAGGTTTCCAACTACAGCGAGTCTAAGATGAAGTTTGGGGATTAGGTGTCTCTGCTTTCCATTACCACAGATAGAAGAGCTGGCGGAATGTCTGCCCTCGTAGCCAGCTGGCTGGGCAAAGGTGAAAGGAGAGGAGGAAAGAAAGAGTTATGTATCGATCCACTTTTTCCATCCCCACGGTCCTCTAAGGTGCCCTGCTGGCCTGGGTTTCCTCTCTGTCACGACCTGGGAAACTAAAGCTCTAGGGAACATATCTGAGTTACCCAAAGACACAGAGAGGCCTGTCCCCAAGGGCCTGTCCTAGACTGTGGAGGGCTGGTGTATCTGTTCCCAGCATCAACAGTAAAAAGGTAGAAAAGCTCATAGAGTAAGTCTTCAACTTAAGAGAAATGTTGCTTTGGCTTAGTGCTGAGAAAAAGACGTTTGCTCTCTAGATAAAGACATCCTCAATGGAAGATCTCACCTTGATTTCAGAGCTTTAAATAAAGTCCCATTCCTGTCCATGGATATTTTATTCCCTGTTTTAGAACCATGCTCTGCACCCATCAGCCTCTGAACTCCATGTTTGCGATGACGTGACAAGAAGGATGCCCAGCTTGATTCTAGAGTCTCAGTGGGTTTTCACTGAAGACTGCAGTGATGGAGGGAGGAGGATGCTCACAGTGGGCTGAAATTTGCAAATCAATACAATGTGTTGGCTTGCTTGGAACTTCCCCATTTTGTTAAGGATTACGTTTCTACAAGGTTTGCAGAGGAGATGTTAATCAGTGGCTGGTGGCCAGAGAGGGCCAACCCTACCAGCAAATAAATGCATTTAAGATGTTAGAGGGTGACCGTAGAGGCGTATGTACGCAGAGGCCTGAAGAATATGAAACCAGTTAAGAACTCAAAGGTCATTTTGTTCAGGGCAAAATTCTTGTGCATAGTGCTGACAGTTTGCCCTCTGGGTGTTTTCAGAGCTTAAAGGATCAAGCTCGTCCACATGAAATATGGAATGTCTCATACAGAAACCCCATGCCCCCCTCAGCCCAACCTTTTGGCTCTATAATTAACATGGCTTCGGCTTCCTGGTGGATACCACCCTGCTGATAGCTCCAGTGTGTAGGCAAGGTCTTGTTGAACTCATGGGCTGGCATCTCTAAGAGGCTGCTTAAAGAGGCTTAAGTAGTAAAATAAAATGGAGTACTCAACACTCCATAGCTTATTTTAGGCTATGTGAAGAGAAGGGAAGGTTATCATTTTCCATGTCTGAGACTGGTTCCCAGTGATAGCGGAGCGTCTGGGCCACTCCACAGAAAGCCCACCAGGGCTGACAAGGGAGTGTCTCTGTCAGGATGGACTGCCAGGCTCAGAGGGATACACTGACCTTCCATGGAGAGAATGGCTTATTTGCCTGGAGGTTGATGGGGAAGGGTAGGTTTCTTTATTGAGATTTGCATGTGGAGAACACATGGAGGGTTAGTAACAGGGGAGTTGGAGGCAGAAAGAGGGGGAAAAGGTATGGAGAATAAGTAGCATAGATAGTAGGTAGAAAATAGACTGGGTGAGGGCAAGAATAGTATGGGAAATGTAGAAACTAAAGAACTTATGACACATGGACATGAACTAAAGGGGGGCAATGTGGGTGGGAGAGGGTGTGCAGGGTAGAGGGGAATGAAGGGGGGTAATGGGACAACTGTATAGCATAATCAATAAAATATATTTAAAAAATAAATAACATATTTTTAAAAATGGGAAAAAAGAAGGCTTTAATACCTTAAAACTTAAACGTTGGGAATTGTAGGCACCGAGGATGATACATTAATTTGGGGCAAAGGGACCTTTCCATGTCTTTCAACACGGAGCACAGTGCACTTCATTCAATTATAACATCGGCTAATGCATAAGGTGGCCACCAGGTCTGGAGATAGAGCAATTTTTCTATCATGTAAAAAAATAATATCAATAAACCATTGATGTAGTTTTCTATGGGCCTAGTCTTGGTGGCCACCCTGAATACTGAGCACTTACTTTGTGCTTTATTAGTGTCAACTAATTTAATCATCCCAACAGGCCTAGCACGTAAGACCATTATTTGTCATCCCCGTTTTCCATCAGAGGATGAAGAGGCTTAGTTAGAGAAGCTCAGGTAAGTAATAAACTCACAGCTGGTCAGACTCTGGAGCTGCGTGGTAAGTTCTGCTCTCCACCCGTTCTCAAGCTAAATCAGGAGCTGAAGGAAGCCGGCTGCGGTCCTATGTCCTCAGGCTCTTGGATTGTTTTCCTAAGAATGCTTTCCACTGGCTATTTAGGTTGAGCCATTGTCTTGCAGTTTCTCCCTAATAAGGCAGCCTTCCGTTCATTTAACCTTTTCTCCCAAGGAGGTTACTTGCCCAACACATCACAGCAGGCACCAGTCAAAACTGGGGTGAAAACTCAGAGTGCCCTGGGCCAGTGTCCTTCAGGGAGCGTGCCTGGCAGAGGTGGCTCACGTTTAGACGGATTGCTTGGTGGTCACTGGCAATTTCTGGAGCCCAGCTAATCTGCACTGTGGAAGCTTTGGCCTTAGAATCCCCTTTCAAGACTAACGGAGGATGTGGTTGCCTATGGGAAGCCTGCAAAGAGTGGTCATTTTCTTTCAAATTGCTTGCTTTCCTGCACACTGGAGGACATAACGGTACCACTTGGACACTTGCTCTCCTTAATTATGTCTCAGCTGGTGAAACTCAACCAAACCCATCGCAAAACACACAGTCCAATAAAAGAGCCTGCTTTTTATAATGGAGAAATTAGCCAGTACTGAGCAGTAGAGGCTAGGGAAATGTCATAAAATATAATTACAATAATAATAATATTAATAGGGGTACACTACACATGGCCTCTTGCCTTTCATCCCAGATCTGAGAGTGGCTGGCTAATGCTAATTAATATAGCTTGCCTTGTCAGAACTAAGTATGAGTCCAGAAAAGGAAGCAGGAATTTTTTAAAAATGGTGTCCCTTGGCTTGGTGGAGACATAATCTTTGTTGCCTTAGTCCAGGGACCTGAAGGGCATTCCAAAGTCCTGTATTGAATGGAAGTGGTAAGCACCTACTCCCTGAAATTGTCAGACTCCCTGAAATTGTCAGGTCTCCCTGTCGCTGACTTCCTGTCACATTTGGGTCCAGTCTTGCCTTCTCTGTCAGGAGGTGGTACGGGGAGGGCGAGAGATGGTGGCCTTCACACGGTTCCCACTCCTTTGGGGTCTGAGCAGAAATACTATGAGGACAGAGTCTTAGAAGCCTGTATTTGACTTAAGGTGCTATGTTCTTCACCTGTGGGTATATTTGGTTTCCATCCCATCTTGCTCACTTGG